AATTTAATTCAATTCCAATTCCATTAATTCAATATTCCAATTAAATTTAATTGGATTATTCCAATTGACAACACTGAGTATAACAGTTTTAAAAAAAAATTTTTTTTTAATTTTTATATATCATTTAAAATTTTAAAAAATAATTAAATAAAAAATTTCATAAATTTTAATAATTTTGTTATTTAATTATAAAGTAAAATATAAAATCAAAAAAATTTTAAATAATTATAAATTATATTGTATATTAATAATATTTGATATTTTTCTTTATATAATTTTTATTTTAAAATTATTTTATAAATCTTACTTATTAATATAATATAAAATCTTATTTATACTTCATTTATGAATTTATTGGTTTTTTTATAAATATAGTACTTCAAATATCCAGATCCTGATCAAATTTAGTTAGGCTGTATAAAGATGTGATCTTTGGTTTTTCTGATAATCGCGGATTGAAAACAGATTAAAGTAGGAAAGGTTGTATAAGGAAAGACTTCTGGTCTAACTTCAATAAAAGTTTACAAATTCCCTGGTATAGCAAATTCTATAGCACAAAGAATACTCTAGCCTGGGGCTATTCCAATCTGATACTTGCTTAAAAGAAAAGGATCTGATGAAAAGAGAAATCTGAAGCTACAGGTAATGACAAAAGTATAATATCTTTTTCAAGAAACCAGGCGAAAGTATTGAATAAATTATTCAGGTATTCTAATCAATTCTGAAAGGTACATGCTTCAAATAACAACTGCCAGAATCTAGATTAGATTAGATAGTTTAAAACTAGTGATAGGATTTCTATCTCTTAAAGATCCTACCTGATATATAGATCTACTCCCATGGTGATAAATCGGTATAATTGGATAAGGCTATAGGTGGAAGTGTGAATTAACTTAAATGGATCTTGTAGTTATGTAATTGAATATAAATCACTCAATAAAAATTATATATTATTAGCATTTTTTATCTGAAAAAAAAAATAATAATAATAAATAAAATCTTATTTATATAAGTAAATTTTATTTAAGATACAATTTTATCAAGAAATTATTAAACATATTTGAATTTGTTTTTTTTAATAATATTATTTTCAATTTTATAATATAACAAATTTAATAAATAATAAATAATAAACTTGAAAATTTTTTTAGACAATTTTAATTATTTCAACAATATTAAAATTTTTTAATATATAAAACTTAATTAAATTTAATTTCATTTTAATTTTTAATCTTTTTTTATTTTTAAATTTATTTTAAATTATTTTTAATCAAATTTAAATAAAAAATTCAATTATTAAAATATTAATTTTAACTGAAAAATCATATATAGTTCTTCTATATTATTTTAAATATAGGATTCATATAATGTATTTTACTTAAGCAAATCATGTTATAGCATTGTATTTCAATTTTTATTATTATTATAAATTTTATACAAGTTAAAACATAAAAATTTAATTAATAATTAATAAAACATTTATTTTTAATTTTTTTATTTATTGACAATTATTTTTATATAATTATTGATATTATAAAATACATCTCAATTTTTTTTACATGTAAAATTTTTATTACAACCATTTATAGTAATCACATGTTTATTTCTATGACGTATATTTAACTTTAATGAATCGAATTTCCGCAGTCAAAATTTTGATGTCCACGTATAAAACTAATTACTATTCCAAACTCGAAGCCAATGTTTATGTTTGATTAATTGATTAAAACAATGATTATCTCATACATACGTCAACTACATTTTCTTTTAAACTACTCTGCAATTCATATTTGATATTAAAATTGATAATTCTATTTTATGATCTTTCTACAATTTATTCGGATGGTTCTTCTTTGATGATTTTCGAATTAACCGGTCGCGGCTTATTAGTATTTAGATTTGAAAGGAGCCGGAGGTTATGTGCATAACTGTATCGCGTGCTTCTATTATCCACCATTTGAAATCTTTTATCAGCCTCACCAACCATCAACTGAAACAGACGCAATAAATAAAATTAATAAAAATCATTGTTTCCTATCTTAAATACTTATACAGTGAAAAAAAGTTTTTAGCATACCGCCCAAGTTATTATAGCCTTGAAAAAAGATGGAAATGAATTGACTTCTGTAAAATCCGTTGGAATTTCACATTTTTCTATTTCAAAAAGTCGATATGCACCTATGAAATACAAAAGTTAGTTAATAACCTTTATACAATTTCTTAAAACAATCTATTTACACTTACCCAAGTAATCCATGAAGTAGAACCTAAGACTAAGACCAATGCATTGAACCATAAAAACCCTTATTTGTAATGGTGGTGCACGCTTTAGTTTTACCTCAGATATAACGGTGAAGTTTATCATGTCCTTTACTGCCCTCGCGTTCTGGATATAATTAGACGTTTCTTTCGCATAATCAATAACATATGGTCTGGAACCTTCGGTAACCGAAATTTCATATGACTTTTCGCCTGTGGTATATGCAATACCGTCTGAGTAGCTCGCGTTTCCACAGTAAGCTGATGCCTGAATTGGTCTACTTCCTCTAAAATAAAAAAACGCTTAATATCAATATTATAATGCTATTAGTAAATTAACAAGTAAATAAATAAATAAAATAAAATATTTACGGTTCATAAGAAATGCCCGAAAATCTCCATAACGCCTTCTTTAGTATAGGATGAACGTAAATGTTCATAAACTCATTTTCGGACATGTCATGGTTTTTTTTAAGAGGATTGTTATGTAATAAAGAATAAGCATCAAAACTAAAAAATAAATAATATTGATAAGTTTACTGAGCATAAAAAGAAACAATAATAAATAAAGTAGATAAAACATACTAGATTGACAACGTTTCAAATAGAAATCGCTTCAATTTTTTTAGAAATGGGTCACTTTCCGGTTCAAGTAAATCTTCAAGCTTATTACTCCATTTTTGATAGTCATGGCTTCGCTAATAATAAATAATAATGTTATACTAAATTGAACAAAAAAATAATGTGCTGATAACAAATATACCTCTGAAAAAAAGATATCCAAGAAATTAATTGCTTGTTCGGGAATTAACTTATCAATTGGTTCAAACATTTCCTTTAAAACATGATTGTAATCATCTTCATCGGTGTACATTATAACGAACTCTGATGTTGGACTTAAATCCATTATTTCGTTGAGACACAACTCGTTGATATTTTCATCACAGTATCTTTGGAAACTATTCACCAAATTTGTCATTTTGTCAGAACAACGCTGTAGCTCGTTGAAAAGATTCTTAACATGACTATGGCCATCCTCCTGTGAGATTAAATAATTGAAATTCAGTAATCAAAATTGTACAATAAATTATCTCACTATTACCTTTTCATGTTCATCTACTCTGTCTTTGTTCGGATTACTATTTTCTTTATCTTCATAGAAGTTATAACAATCATCATCATAAAAAGCTTCACTAAGGATTCCAATCGTGGTTTTACGGGATTTTGCCTCTTTTTGTTCAAGGCTGTCGTCACTTTGACGTTTCTGTAAAATACCATATATTCCATTATTTCACATCTCAATAAAATATAATAAATGTTTAATCCATCTCCAGTATTTGTTACCATATTGTTACGGTCATTGTCTTCACTGCTGCTAGCATTCAGAGTTTCCATCTCACTGACTGATTCATCTTCTTGAATATCTACTTTCGTATTATTCTGTTTATAATATACAACTGTATTAAATAAATTTATAATAGAAATGTTTAAAATATTTATTATTTACCTGCCGAGTCTTTAACATTTTTTTCTTTTTGAATTTTTCCCAAAATTGTGTCGCTTTTGAATTCTCAAGTAGAGGAAATACAAATTAGTTTATATATTCTTATATTCACCTTTTAAATACACTGACTATCCTTTAAAAATCATTGTAGCTTGCTATGCATTGTACCGAGGACAAAACCTAACTCCAGAAGTTAACAGGGGGCTACCTGCTCCCAGTGATACAACTACACATACAAACACTGTATATTGTACTGAGGACGAAACCTAACTCCAGGAAATAACAGGGACGCTACCTGCTCCCAGTAGTACATATACTAACTAGTGATACTACTAACATCTATTTCTTTTTTTTTTTACTACCTGGTTAATGAGAAATGAAGCGATTCTATTTTTCTTCTCATTATCATTCTTACTTCTTGAAATCTCTCGGAGGTGATCATTAAACCTTTTCCTCCAGATTGACTTTAATGTACTAACTTCGAAATCCACATTAAGAAATGACTGCATCGCCTCAAGATATCCAGAAAACGACCATTTTTCCACAGGTGTTAAATTAAAATATTCTTCACCTGCAGTAAATAATAATAGTAAGACCACGTAAAATCAAAATAAAGATTAAGCAATCAACATACCGGAATATTTGTATGATTCTGACAACATTTTCTTTAAGTTTTTTATAAGGAACTTTTTCGATTATTAAAAAACGAATTATCAAAGTGAGTCTACCATAACGCGTTATATAGACAATCTGATCAAGCATTCTGATTGGTCGCGAACGCGACGTGACAGACATTTTTCGAACACGTATCGCGCGCGAACTTGGTTGATTATTTTGCTTAAAATAGTACGATACAAATAAAAAAAAAATGTGACATAAATCCAAAGGCATATTGAGACAAAAAGTTTATATTGATAATAATTTTTATATAACAAATAAAAACTCAATAGAATAAATTCATTTTATAGCTCGTTTCAATTAGAAAAAATTAATATATTAAAGTTATGCATGTAGGCAAATTATAAAAATTAGAAGTTATATTTACTAATTCTCTACATGTACAATTAAAATTTAAAGATATTAAATTATACATGTAATATATTTTTTCTTTATAATAGAGAAATGTATTTTGTAATTAAAAAATTAAATTACTATTAACAATTAATTCTTATTATATATAAATTTTTATTTTAAGAAATTTAATACTAGTCGAAATTTGATTATTCAGCATATCAAATTATTGCCAAATTATGTAGATTTCTATAATTAAATTCAAGCTGAATTTATGCCATTTGGTGACTTGACATAAAATTAAACATAATTATTTGTGAATAGTCTGATTATAATATAATAGTATTTAGCAATAAATTAATAAATAAAATATAATTTTTTTGATATATAACTTAACTATAATTTAATATATTTTAAATTTAAAAATTTGATAAATTTATATATATATATTTTAGCAAAAAAAAAAAAAAAAACTCTTTCTTGTTTATTCAGATTTGCCTAAAATCTATAATAAACAGCTTGAAATCTATTTAAAAACTTATTTATTATGAAAACACATAACAGTAATATCTTTCAAAACAGAAATTCACTTTCTTTCATTTACAAGCAATATCAAGCTTGGATAATGTCATAACAAGGGGCTAAGTTGATTATTACTTTATTTACAAATTAAAAAATATATAAAAAGTATATAAGATATTAATCCAACAGACCTGTGGGTCCATAATACAGTGATTAGTGCTTCACAGGTCAGATCACAAGATATCAGTTCAATCCCAGGTGAAGGCGGTTGAATAATATTAATATGATATTTGGCACCATAACCAATCATATACTGTTTCTTATAAGAAGTCATTCACATGTTGATCCGGTAAGGCATTGAGATTATGATTTCCCATTAAAGTGTCGCGGCATAATAATCGTCCGGTTGGTGTATGATAATCATCGAGAAGTCTCTTCATATATAAGTTGTGCAGGCCCCCTATATATATCATACCCAATAGGCTGAAGTCGACTCCAGGATTTCCTAGTTTGGAGCTATTCCAATCTGACACTTGTTTAAAAGAAGTTGGTTCCGTCGAACGGATCTACCGAAGCCGCAGGTGGTGACAAGGAACAAGTATCTCCTCTAAGGATTCAAACAAAAAATATCGTGGTGTCCGGAAATCTGAAGACCAATCACTGAAGGATAAACATAGCTCTTAGAAACCGGATTATAGGTTAGGTGGTTTAAACTAGTGGTAGGCATTCTCCCCTATAGAAACCCCACCCGATATGTAAAATACCATACCATGAGTATACAGTTCATATGTTGGATTCAAAAAGATGGACAGTAAGCTGATATGTCAAAGTATTAGGCAGTGTTGATTTACAATTGTAGATTACATAATCGATTCAACAGCAATTTATAATTGTAAAAGGATACTTGATATAATTCGTAGATTACTTACATATCAATAAAGATTTGCATCATTGCATGTTCATCTATAAAAAAAAAAAAAAAAAAAAAAAAAAAAAAAAAAAATATAAATAAAAAAAAATAATAATTATTATATATATATTAAAAAATATAAATTTAAA